TTACACTCCCACCAGTAATGTAAGTGTTCCTATTTCTCCACATCCTCTCCAGCATCTGTTGTCTCCAGGTTCTTTCATGATCGCCATTTTAACTGGTGTGAGATGGTATCTCAATGTAGTTTTGATTTGCATTTCTCTAATAATCAGTGATGATGAGCATTTTTTCATAAGTTTGTTGGCCTGATATATGTCTTCTTTTGTAAAATGTCTGTTCATATCCTTCGCCCACTTTTGAATGGGTTTTTTTCTTGTAAATCTGTTTTAGTTCTTTGTAGATTCTGGATATTAGCCCTTTGTCAGATTGGTAGATTGCAAAAATTTTTTCCCATTCTGTTGGTTGCCGATTCACTCTAATGACTCTTTCTTTTCCTGTGCAGAAGCTCTGGAGTTTGATTAGGTCCCATTTGTCTATTTCGGCTTTTGCTGCCATTGCTTTTGGTGTTTTAGTCATGAAGTCCTTGCTTATCCCTATGTCCTGAATGGTTTTGCCTAGATTTTTGTCTAGGGTTTTTATGGTGTTACGTCTTATGTTTAAGTCTTTAACCCATCTGGAGTTAATTTTAGTGTAAGGTGTCAGGAAGGGGTCCAGTTACTGTTTTCTGCACATGGCTAACCAGGTTTCCCAACACCATTTATTAAACAGGGAATCCTTTCCCCATTGCTTTTGTCCCATTTGTCAAAGATCAGATGGTTGTAGATGTGTGGTGTTGCCTCCAAGGCCTCTGTTCTGTTTCATTTGTCTATATCTCTGTTGGTACCAGGACCATGCTGTTTTGATTACTGTAGGCTTGTTATATAGTTTGAAGTCAGGTAGTGTAATGCCTCCAACTTATTTCTTTTTGCTTAGAATTGACTTGGCTATGCGGGTGCCATATGAAGTATAAGGTGTTTTTTTCCAGTTCTGTGAAGAAGGTCATTGGTAGCTTGATGGGGATAGCATTGAATCTATAAATTACTTTGGGCATTAAGGCAATTTTCACAATATTGATTCTGCCTAACCATGAATATGGAATGTTTCTCCATCTGTTTGTGTCCTCGCTTATTTCCTTGAGGAGTGGTTTGTAGTTCTCTTTGAAGAGGTGCATTAAATCCTTTTTTAGTTGTATTACTAGGTATTTTATTCTCTTTGTAACAATTGTGATTGCAGTTTGTTCTTGATTTGGCTCTCTTTAAGTCTGTTATTGGTGTATAGGAATGCTTGTGACATAAAATATTGCTCTAATGTTTTATCACTATCATCTCTTATCATCTGTACAATACAAAAACTACATGAAGTAATCAATAAATTCCAAACTAGTAAATAATACAGCTAGTTTAGGTGTTATTGACACAGAAGGATCAGATTTTCAAGTTTATCAGTATTACTTAATTTTTTTTTCCTCTTATGTTATTGTATGTAGTATTTTAGAAATTTGATTTTAAATATTCTCTTTTTTATTTTTCTCCAACTTTACCTCCCTCTACCCTGCTCTCACTGCCACTCTACCTCACCCAAATCTGTTCTATCCTGGCTTCCAAATATGAAGACAATGGTATTGCATATGATTATATGAGAAGATACGCAGCGGCTCATTGAGTATTGACTACTTTATGTTGGGGATCAGGTAGAAAGACGTCCATGGAAGTAGCATTGATTATCCATTCTGAGACAGGAGCACACTTCTCCCATGTCCATAGAATCTCACTTTCACTGCATCTTCAACTTCTTCTCTGAAGTTGAAGGTCATCTTCTTGCTCCCTGCTCTTTTTCCCCTGAGGCTATTTCCCCTGAGCCCCATCTTTTTCAAGAGGGGGCTGTCCTTTCCTCTACCTCTGAAATCTCCTCTTCTGGTGATGAGAAATGTTCTCATTGCCTCTTTCAGAAATTTTTAATCCTGTTATTCCTAAAATTCCCAGTTTCAAATGTTCTGTCATATGATTCTATAACCAACCACCCTTCCATCTATAGCACATGGGTTCCTCCTTGCCAATTTTTGAACATTTTAATCCCTTGTTCATTTTCAAGCCCCTTTGACACATCTATTTTTATTTTTATGACTTTTATGTACACATTACTTACCAAAACAACTCAAATTCTTGGCCTTATATCCTAAGACTTTCTTCCATTACTCCATTTCATCCACTCACTGACTTAGCCTTAAGATTATCAATAATGGTAACCTTTTCATAATCTTAATTCCAAGATTTCCGCTTTTTGACCGCCATCTCTTTTCTCTTTAGTTTGCTCATATAATCCTACGTGATACCACTGTCTTCATATTTGGAAGCCGGGATAGAACACAGGACAGATTTTGTGTGAGGTAGGGTGGCAGTCAGAGCAGACTAGAGGGAGGTAAAATGGTAGAAAAATATAACAGAATATTTAAAAACAAGTTTATAAAATATTGCACACAATAAGAGGAAAACAAATATTTGTTGCTATGGTGTTTTCACTAATTATTTTCTCCAAGCTCCTTGAAAACTGATTTCCCATCCAGTTCTCATCACCATTTCCACACTAGGTTTCTATCAAACAGCACTGAGGCTTTTGTAAACAGATTCAAAGAGTAGAGAATAGGTCCTAAGGGGTAGGAGAAGCATGAGAAATATTTAGAGTAAGAGATTATCTCTGTATTCCTGGAAGTGAAAGAAAATCCTTAGGCTGCACATGTTATAATAGAGGAAATATCTATTCCTATTGAGCATGCACTGTGGACATGGCATTATTTAGGTGTTTCAGATACTTCAGTGAATACGACAAGTATCTTTACCATTGTGGAGCTTTTATTCTAGCAGAAGAAGACTGATACTAGACATGATAAATAAGTAAATTGTGTAGTTTGTTAGAAGGTGAAAGTTTCAATGACAAAATGATAAGATGGATGAAGAGTATAGGCATGGTTGATTATGGGGGACTTATACATTTACACACAGTTGTAAGGAATTAACTTTATTGAGCAGTTGAGATTTGCACAAAGACTTGTTAACCAATGTCATTAGAGAAGACCTTTAAGAGAGAAGAGATGAAACAGCTAGAGTGTTAGCAGCACATGGATGATAAAAGTGCAGGGGAAAGGAAGCTATATTAAGAGATATTGCATAAACTTGTATCCCCTTCTCAGGATTTGTGAAATAGTAGTAATAAGACTTAGTAATTTGAAAATATGTTCTATTGCTTAATTTTTTTTTACCTTGACACCTCTGCAACAAAGTCCTATGACTCATAATTTTTCAAATATTAGAACAACATAAATAATAGTAATAGAACACCTACAAACTTCTAGGTCATGTTTAAAGTACTCACTCACTATAAATTCATGTAAGTATATCAACATCATATGAGGTAAATAGTCACTCTTTTGTACATATTACAGATGAGAAAACTGAGATACAGAGTGGTTAGGTAATATCAACAGGAGAGCCAGGATATATGTGTGAGCAGGCTGCCTCTAGTTCAATGCTTGTACCCATCTGGCTGAAGTATAGCTTCAATAGCTGGCAATATTTCCCTACTTCTAGATCTGTTTGGTGAAATAAGACACTTTGTTGTTTCCCACAAAACACAGACCAGTTTTGGAATAGCTCCTTGACTATTTCTCAGCCTTGGTCATTAATTCCATATATTTGATTCTGATAGCGTAAAACTCTTGAGGAAGTCTTGAGGAAGCAATGCTGCATTTCTGGGGTTATACATGTGTCTGATGTAAACAGGGAGAATTTGCGTAAAAACCTTAACACAAACCCTTTTTTACTTGTTTGTGGGAACCCAAGGGCTGAAGATATTCATGTCAATCTAATATATAAATGGTTATTTGATAAACTATTAAAAATGCTGGGGATTATAGAGAAAATTCATTCATTGTAGAAAAAAATGGTTTAGGATAAAATTTTAGTGTTTCCATTCTCCGATGTTTTGTCATTGTAGACTATAAATTACACATGAACTATGAAGTCCCAACAGCCAAATGTTAGCAGTACCATTTCCTATTCACTAAAATTCCTTTGGGACCAACTCCTAAGAATGTGTGACAGTAAATGTATTAATGATTTGTGTTCTTTATCTTTTTAAGATATTCATATTCTCAACTCTGACAAAATGAAAAAAGTAAAATTTCAATTTAGAGTATAAAGAAAATCAAAAATCGCTGGAAGGCTCACAAATGATTAAGGTATATCTATAAAGAATTTACTAGAAATATGGAAACATTATATACTGAGAGAGACTTTCCTCCAGAGCTGGGTTAATAGGTTCAGATAAGCCCATGGCCTCTGTAGGTTCTTCACTACTTAGCTTTTTCCTTCAAGGACTCCTCCAAGTGTGTCTGCTGTGACAGCAGTTTTAGGAGTTTTACAACACAGTGCCTTTTGATCTCATTTCAACTGCTGTGATTAAACAGACACACATCACTTGCTGTGCCACTGTGAAGAAGCTTGGGGTTCACCTTTGCTGAATTAGTACCCACTGAGCACTGCAAATATTTAAAATGTCAATCCATTTGATAATGTCAGGGAGGCCTGCAAATACCACAAAATGGCACCAAGGAAGCATTCAACACAGACAGAAAACACTTAACATCTCTCTCCTTCAAGGTAAAATGAGAGTTGAATGGAAACAGTAAACCTCTAAGCAAGTTACTAAGGTGGGCAAATGTAATAACTCAAAGGGAGACATAAGATTATAACTTACTGTTTTTGATCTTAAACCCAGTACTATTTTGGGGGAAATTAATTTATATTGACATAATATTAGGGAGTTCTTACCATAAAATCCAACTGATGTCTTCCTTAGACAATCTGTGGCTACCTGCCCCAAGAGCTCAGCTCTAATGGAAACTTCAAGTATCAAGTGACGTCTTTACTTCATCATCAAGAATTTCATTCTAAAACCAGAGGAAAACATTCTGGTATAGAGTTTGGAAATATCAGCAAAGCCACAGACCACCCAGCAACCTCATGATCTTTTTAGTTTCATTAGATTATAACTGATGATGCACAATGAATAGAATCTCAAATATTTTTGTTTCTATTTATATTTGTATTAATTAGAGTAAAAGGCTAAATTGTCCTATAAAAATAATTCATTTCTCAATCAGGGAACATTCAGAAGTAAGTATCCAAAGTCAGCTGGCAGTTCTGCTCCATGGTAAACTGGGTCGAGGAAGGCAGGTCTGACATACTCACAGAGGACTTCCAAAGCCTTTTGGTTCACTGTCATTCTTGCCTGTGGAAAAAAAAAAAAGAGCCCTAGATTTCCTCTTAAAATGTAGGATAGGCAAGGTGGCTCTTATCTGTAATCCCAGCACTATGGGAGGCCAAGGTAGGAGGATTGCTTGAGCCCAGAAGTTTGACAACAGTCTGGGAAACATAGTGAGAACTCATTTCTACAAAAAAGTTTTAAAACGAGGTGGGAGAACTGTTTGTACCCAGCAGGTTGAGCCTGCAATGAGCCATGATTGCTCCACTGCACACCTACCTGGGTGGGTGACAGTACCAGACAGATGGAGAGAGAGAGAGAGAGAGAGAGGGAGGGAGAAAGAAAGAGAGAATGAGAATGAAAGAGGGAGAGGGAAGGAAGGAAGGGAGGGAGGGAGGGAGGAGAGGGAGGAAGGGAGGGAGGAAGGAAGGAAGCAAGAAAGAGAGGGAGGGAGGGAATGTATAGTGAAATGAAAGTTACAAATATCCCTTTCTCTCACATTCTACTGATGTGAGCTTAGTCACAAGACCACAGTTGACTACCAGTTTGAGAATTATAGTCTAGTGTCCAAGAATGCAAGAAAATTAATTTCTCCCCATGGAATGTTTGTTCATCTATGTGTTGTAGTGTAATTTCATTCTTGCCATTATACATGGGAAAGGATGACATTTTGAGTTGGTTATGTTGAGATAAAGAATATGTAAGCACAGGAGTCAAGAATATTCAAATATTGATAAATATAAAATTCACATATAAAAAGTTAAAGAAATATTGGTACATTTGTGTCAGCATCCTAGGTCACAAATTTCTCCTATTGAATACAGTTTTGTTGTATTTTCCTTTTGCTCTAAGAAAATAAGTAACTTTTATTTTTGTCATTAAATGCCTCCAAGTTTTAAATGTAAGGAAGTTTATCATATGGAATGAAATTTAATAATTTAAAAATGTAAGAAGTTTATAATATGGAATCAAATTTAATAATTTAAAATGCAGTTAATAGTCCTAGTGAGCACAAGTTTAAACATTATAGGAAGCTATCTTCAAAAGTAAAAGTTTATGAACAGTATCATATTTCCATTATTTATTTATTAACTTATTTATTTTCTGAGTGTTAGGTCCCATCTTCGATACCATTTCAGTCTATTTCTTTAAATTGATGTATAATAGATATTATGAGAATGAGCTCATCTTGGAAAATTAATAGTTTGGAATTGGAATTTTATGCCTGATTGAAAATTCTTCAAGCCTAATTTCACTCTAAAACTAATCCTTCTTTGAAATACTTTCTATCCTCAACTGGTGTTTGCATGACTTCAATAACTGTAGATGATTATCACCTTTCCTTTAAACCACCTCTGAACCATGATTTAAAATTTTAATTTTATTTTGAAAAGAATAACCTAATATGATGAATATACCACAGTTTAAAAATGTAGAGATGAAGATATGTGATGTAGAAACCAGCTATATCATGGTGTATCTGGAATGCTATTTAAAGTGCAATGCTGAGCTATCTAGGCATTATTATTCTTCCTACATGAATCAATCCCTGTAACTCATGAATCATTTTCACCATCTTTCTTGAAAGTTCCCCCACTTTGTCTTCATCACATACCATTTGTAAATCCATTACACCTAAATGATACTTATTTCAGATATAGCCTGAGCAATATCAAGTAGTGATGCTCTATCATTTTTAGAGTTGGTAATTGTTCTTAATGTTAACATCAATTAATTTTATGTTAATTATTATAATGAAGATAGTGATTCAGTTTCATTTTATTTATTCAGTTTTATTTCCCATGATCTAATACATACAACTCATTTATTTATGTTGTTACACAATGAATATTTCTTGAGTGCCAACTAAGTGCTAGGCACTGTACTAAGTATTGGAGTTTCTGTGATGAGAACAAGGAAATACAAAACCAGGTCTCATAAAGTTTATAGTTTAGTAGGAAAAATAAATATTACACTTTTATATCACACTTTTAGAATTCTTTATAGTATGTAGATAACATGACCTGCTTTATGTTTTGAAGAAACACTGTCAACCCTGTGGAGATCCATAATCCTAAATGTGAAAATCCCAAAAGAACAAAATTTCTGAGCTCTAAAATCCCAAAAATCATAATTTAAAGATCAAAATCCTGGAAATATTATTACAGAAATAACAATTTAAAATTTATTTCAAAGACACATTTACATTTTTAAAACAAGATTTATTTGAGAAACATAAAAACATACTAGAACACTTCATAGGCCACTTTATAACACAAAATAGGAAAGAATAGCAGACATGTGTTTGGAAGCATAAACACCTAGGTATACTAACAAAAATCACATCACTATAACAGTTATAAGCAGATAAATTCTTTTCAAAAAGAAATAGATCCAAAAGGAAAATGTATAAACACCCATCAATATAGTTGATATCTGTGTTCATAGCTTTATAACTAAAGTTATCCAAAATACTGTGATAAACAACTTAAGCAATTTTTTTGTAGAGGCTTAGTTCCTCTTTTATTTTGATTTCCAATTTATTTATTATACTTTAAGTTCTGTGTTACATGTGCAGAACATGCAGGTTTGTTACATAGGTATACACATGCCATGGTGGTTTCCTGTATCCAACACCCTGTCATCTACATTATGTATTTCTCCTAATGCTTTCCTTCCCCAATCACCCCACCCCCTGCTATTCCTCCCCTAGTTTCCCACACCCTGACAGGCCCCAGTGTATGATGTTCTTCTCCCTGTGTGTCCACATGTTCTTACTGTTCAACATCCATTTATGAGTAAAAACATGCAGTGTCTGGTTTTCTTTTCTTGTGTCAGTTTGCTGAGAATGATGGTTTTCAGCTTCATCCATGTCCCTGCAAAGGACATGAACTCATCCATTTTTATGGCTGCATAGTATATCATGGTGTATATTTGCCACATTTTCTTTATTCGGTCTATCATTGATGGGCATTTGGGTTGGTTCAAAGTCTTCACTATTGTGAACAATGTCACAATAAACATACATGTGCATGTGTCTTTATAACAGAATGATTTATAATCCTTTGGGTATATACCCAGCAATGGGATTGCTAGGTCAAATGGTATTTCTAGTTCTAGATCATTGAGGAATCACCACATTGTCTTCCACAGTGGTTGAACTAACTGGGTCAAATGGTATTTCTAGTTCTAGATCCTTGATGAATCACCACATTGTCTTCCACAGTGGTTGAACTAATTTACACTTCTATCAACAATGTAAACGTGTTCCTATTTCTCCACATTCTCTCCAGTATCTTTTGACTCGTGACATTTAATGAAAGACTTCTAACTGGCGTGAGATGGTATCTCATTTGCATTTCTCTGATGACCAGTGGCAATGAGCTTTTTTTCATATGCTTGTTGGGTGTATAAATGTCTCCTTTAGAGCAGTGTCTACTCATATCCTTCACCGACTTTTTGATGGGGTTTTCTTTTCCTGTAAATTGGTTTAAGTTTTAGATTTTGGATATTAGCCCTTTATCAAACAGGTAGATTGCAAACATTTTGTCCCATTCTGTAGGTTGCCTGTTCACTCTGATGACAGTTTCTTTTGCTGTGCAGAAGCTCTTTACTTTAATTAGAACCCATTTGTTATTTTGGCTTTTGTTGCCATTCCTTTTGGTGTTTTGGTCATGAAGTCTTTGCCATGCCTATGTACTGAATGGTATTGCCTAGGTTTTCTTCTAGGGTTTTTATGCTGTTAGGTGTTATGTTTAAATCTTTAATCCTTCTTAATTTTTGTATATGATGTAATGAAGGGATCTAGTTTCAGCTTTCTGCATATGGCTAGCCAGTTTTCCCACCACAATGTATTACATAGGGAATTCTCATTGTTTTGTTTTTGCCAGGTTTGTCAAAGATCAGATGGTTGTAGATGTGTGGCATCATTTCTGAGGCCTCTGTTCTGTTCCATTGGTATACCTCTGATTTGGTACCAGTACCATGTTGTTTTCATGGTATAGTTTGAAGTCAGGTAGCATGATGACTCCAGCTTTGTGGTGGTGTTGTTTGCTTAGGATTGTCATCTTTGCCATGCTTTTTTTAGCTTAGGATTATCTTCACTTAGATTTGGTTACATATGAATTTAAAGCAGTTTTTCCAATTCTGTGAAGAAAGTCAATGGTAGCTTGACGGGGATAGCATTGAATCTATAAATTACTATAGGCAGTATGGCCATTTTCATGATACTGATTCTTCCTAACCATGAGAATGGAATGTTTTTCCATCTGTTTGTGTCCTCTCTCATTTCCTTGAGCAATGGTTTAGAGTTCTTCTTGAAGAGGTCCTTCATATCCCTTATAAGTTGTATTCCTAGGTATTTTATTCTCCTTGTAGCAATTGTGAATGGGTGTTCACTCCTGATTTGGCTCTCTCTCTGTTATTGGTGTATAGGAATTCTTGTGTGTGATTTTTGCACATTGATTTTATATCCTGAGACTGCTGAAGTTACTTATCAGCTTAAGGAGATTTTGAGCTGAGATGATGGGGTCTTCTAAATATACAATCATGTCATCTGCAAATAGAGACAATTTGACTTCCTCTTTTCCTAACTGAATACCTTTTATTTCTTTCTCTTGCTTGCCTGCCCCAGCCAGAACTTCCAATACTATGTTGAATAGGAGTTCTGAGAGAGGACATCCTTGTCTTGTGCTGGTTTTCAAAGGGAATGCTTCTAGCTTTTGCCCATTCAGAATGATATTGGCTGTGGGTTTGTCATGAACAGGTTTTATTCTTTTGAGGTACATTCCATCCATACCTAGTTTATTGGGAGTTTTTAGCATAAAGCACTGTTGGATTTTGTTAAAGGCCTTCTCTGCATCTATTGAGATAATCATGTGATTTTTGTCTTTGGTTCTGTTTATTGATTTGCATATGTTAAACCAGACTTGCATCCTTGGAATGAAGGCAACTTGATCGTGGTGGATAAGCTTTTTGATGTGCTGTTGGATTCGGTTTGCCAGTATTTTATTAAGGATTTTCACTTC